ATACAAGGGTAAACCTCTTCTGAATTAGTCTTTTAAAGGAATCCCTGTGATACACTCACCTCAGAGCTGTTATAGGCTGAACACAACTTGAATGCACACAAGAATAATAAAAATGTTGTAACTGCTCCTATGTTGCTTCTAATGTTAAATGTTAGTGGAATTATAGATGAGAACACGTGCTTTACATCTTTAAGATCTGAAGTTTCTTTTTGCACTTTCAGGAATACAAAAATGAGAGTAGCAGGTGGTGAGACAGAATTCTCCAGGCATTAAAGTCAATTGTAGGTCAAGACACAGAATACTGTGCTCGAAATAGAATTGACCCAGTTTTGTAGCTTTATATAAACATTTCACAGAATAAAGTTTGTCCAGTAAATGCTGCATTTGTACTGTTTGCTTATTGCTATTACTTGATCAATCCAAGCTAAGTATGTTAATGCATGCACAAGATTATGGCAATAACACAACTCAATTTATATAGCTTCTGATCACATTCATTTGCTACAAATGTAATCTTCCCCACTTCTAAACCATGGCCAGAAGATAAGAAGCCTACCAAAATCCAGAATGTTCCCTCCTTTTATTTCTATGTTTTGCTGTAAGGTCTTATCTTATGAAACGACGTGAGAGACGTGTGAATTTAGTTGGTCCTAATAAAAGCATTGCCTATGGATTTTTATAAATGGATGAATGCTACTTCTTTGTTTTAATGAGTACTTCTTGTCTCTTTTAGTAGTCATATGAATTATAATTATTGTAAATGAAAGTGGGAACAATCCATTCATGTTCACAGGTTATGTTTACAGTACATAATCTGGGAATAATCAAACTGTCTACATTTCCCGAAGTCCCATGTAATCATTGATCTCTAATTGGACATTTAAAGTTATTGACATGACAATCCTTCAACTTTATAAGTATCTTTATCTCAACATCTTCCACAAGGTATATTATATAGTAGCCTTAGCTATAGCCGTTGAGGTCAAAGAGAGAAAGAGAGACCAATAGACTGGTAAAGAAATACTGCCACTGCATGGACAATGCAGGTATAAAGGCACCGCTTAACTTTTAAATCTCAGCTTTTAAGGAGTTCACACCCAGCATGTTTTTAGAAAGTGGCATGGTATATCACTTTTAAAGTTTGTTCTCTTGACATATGGGTGCCAAAGACACATTATGGAAAGCATACCGCTTCTGAGGATCCATTTAAAAAAGGTTTAACATATGAAGTGGGAAAAAAGCTGCTTGAATATCTTCAGGCCATTTTAATTTCTTGAAAATGATGCTACAACTGGACCATTCCAAAATTGGGTAGCATCTATCAATCTACTCAGGGGACACGGTTCCACATACATGGGGCCACCCTGCAGTATTTAATTCATAGTAGTCTTGTTGGAGGTGGTTGTCTGTGTGGCTCTTGGCATCAGTTATTTATGATGTGATAAGGCTTTTAGAGAAGTATCGATTCCAAAACTATTAGAACTGTATAATGGAATAATGAAAGGAGATAAGATGCCAGAATCATGGAAGAAGTCATTAATAATATTAATATCAAAACCGGATAAAGATTTAACAGACCCAGGGTCATATACGCCCATATCATTAGTTAATCAGGATGCAAAGATTTTATCCGCTATAATAGCCAATAGAATGAATAAATGCATGTACAAGTATATTTGAAAAGATCAGTGTGGGTTTGTAAAAGGAAGACAAATGTCAAATTTGAGAGGAAGAGTATTAAATAAAATTTGTGTGGTTCAAGAGAGGAAGATAAAAGTAGGGATATTATCATTAGATATTTTTAAAGCTTTTGATTGTGTGGAATGGTGGACATTAAGGGAGGTTATGAACAAATTTGGAATGGGAAGCAGAATAAAAGGATTATTAGAACAATATTATTCAAGAAACTCAGCAGTAGTAACTATAAATGATGGAGTGACAAAAGAAAAAAGTTATAAGGAGAACAAGACAAGGTTGCCCTCTATCACCAATTTTGTTTGCCATGGTGATAGAATTATTTGAAAATGCCATTAGGAAAAATAAGAACTTAGAAGGGCTAGGAATGAAGAAAAAGCAGAAGGTGAGCTTACTTGCCGATGATACATTGTTATTTATTGAAAATATAGTAAGTAAAATGGATAAAATAAAGGATCATTTAGAGATATTTGGGAAAATAACAGGTCTACAAGTTAACTGGAATAAGTCAGAAATGATGCTATTTAATTATATAAAGAAAGAAGAAAAAGAATTTATAGAAGAGAGCAAAATGGGAATTAGAATTAAGAATAAATTAAAATACCTGTGAGTAATAATAACAAAGGATTTAAAAGAAATGGAAGAGGTAAATGTAGTAGCATTGAGAAAAGTTGTTCAAATTTTTTTAATAGAATATGAAAATATACATTTATCTTGCTTTGGAAAGATACCATTAAAAATGAAAATGAAAATACTTCTGAAGATAAATTTCATATTTAGAATGCTGCCACTACAAATTACAGAAGAAGAGCTAAATAGATGGCAAAAAATGATAAATAAATATTGTAATGGTAGTAAAAGAAATAGATTAAACAAATCTATTTTGTTTAATATATGGTACAGATTGCAAAAAGAGGGAGGATTAGCACTCCCTAATATTAAAAAAATATTATGAAGCGAGATTGGTTATAGAAGGAATGATAAAAAAGAGGGTGTAGATTGGCTAAGAAAGGATTCGGAAAAAGTGGAGGAAGAAATTTGGAATATATATATTTAAACAGTTTATGAGAAAAGAAACTAAGAAAATTAGAAACCCAATGTTGAGCAATATATTAGAAGTAGGAGCCCCCCGGTGGCGCAGTGGGTTAAACCCCTGTGCCGGCAGGACTGAAGACCAACAGGTCACAGGTTCGAATCCGGGGAGAGGCGGATGTGCTCCCTCTATCTGCTCCAGCTCCTCCGGGGACATGAGAGAAGCCTCCCACAAGGATGATAAAAACATCAAATCATCCAGGCGTCCCCTCGGCAACGTCCTTGCAGACGGCCAATTCTCTCACACCAGAAGCGACTTGCTCCTGACATGACAAAAAAAAATGGAACAAATATAGGAGAATGTTATTAACGGATGGTTCAGTAATAACCCCAATTGTAATGGAAAAGAAATTTCCAAAAAAAAATTGAAAAAGTAATGGATAAAAAGTTAAGGGAAAAAAATAGACAAAATAGGGGATTGGATAAAGGTTGGAATGAAGAAGGAAATGATTACGGAAGAATTTAGAGAAATAAAATCGACATGGTTCCATTGTATACAATTAGGACAATGGTTTAAAAATTGGGAAAAAATAATAAAAACAGAAGTAAGCTTAACCAATTTGAACAAATAATACAAAATGGAAGGGTTGTAGAGGAGCATGAAAATTTGAAAGGAGTAACTAGTAAAGTCTATAAGATAATAATTGAAATAAAGAAAGGAAAAAAAAAGAACACCCTCAAGGAGGTCTGGGAAGAAGATTAGGGATAAAAATAAATGAAACAGAGTGGCAACAATTATGGAGACAAAGACATCTAAAAAATTTATTACTACGGGCTAAATAAAATTATTATAAGTTACTATGGAAATGGTACCTACCACCAGTAAGAATAGCAAATATAAATTAAAACTATTCAAAAAAATTGCTGGAGAGGATGTCAAGAATCAGGAACATATATACATATGTGGTGGCAATGTAAATATGTAAATAATTTTTGGGGAAAAGTATTTAGAGAAATAGAAGATATAACGAACATTAAAATAGAAAGAAGTCCTAGTATAGTTTTATTATTATACAATAAACAATTGAAAAAAGAGGATAAAGATGCAGTAACAAATTTATTAACAATAGCAAGACTGCTTATAGCAAGGAACTGGAAAAGAGACATAAATATACAAATAGAGGAGTGGTACAAGGAAGTATGGAAACTGGCAATAAATGATAAGCTGATGTGTATATTAAAAGTTAAAAGAGGTATATAGAAACAAAGTGATTTTGATTATGTATGGAGAAAATTTATTGAAAAAGATTAAAAAACAAAGTAGGAAAGTTACCTCCACCAGAAGAATTGAAATTTTGGACAGATGATATGTAAAAGCCCTGGCTTTGGGGGGGGGGGGGGGAAGGGGAGCACAGCGGTGAGGGATAGATAATATGTATAAGCAGAAAAATAACACTAGATGCCAAAAGTTAAAGCATGGTAAGTTGTATTGAATAATATGTATCTGCTGTAAAACAAACAATGTATAACAAATGTATTGAATCATGATAAAATAATTAAAAATATCATTAAAAAGATAAGGCTGCTTTGATGTGCTTCTTAAAATCTACATTTTGGCTGACAACCTATCAAAAACTGATGGGATGTAAAGTTCTATCAGCTTAATTACATAGCGGGGTAAGCTCCCATCTGTCAGCTCCAGTTTCTCATGTGGGGACATGAGAAAAGCCTCCCACAGGACATGAGAAAAGCCTCCCACAGTATGGTAAAACACCTAGGCATCCACTGTGCAATAATTCTCTCACACCAGAACTGACTTGCAGTTTTGCAAGTTGCTCCTGACACACACATAGAGCTTAATTACATTGAATTCTGGGCCAGCAAAGTGACAGTAGGCTACCAAAGATATTTGGTGTGCAAGGGGGCTAGGGGTAGAGCTACACATGAGGGCTGTCCAGTAAAAGTGTTTTTATAAGACGATCTCTTTATGCAACAAAATATGATTACATAGTTCAATAAGGGATTTTTAACACCTTGAACTGTATTACAGATTGAACATTTTATTAAAGCACAGTATTAAAATGTTGGAAAAATATTTCATACTCTGAAGTACGTTAGTTGCCTTTCTACTACTTAACACACTTGAGACTACTTGTTCCCAGAAATCCCACACACCACCCAACAAGATTAAAAAATGGCTTGCAAACAAAAGCTAAATCACGTTAGTATGGCTTACAGTGTATTCCCACCCCACCATAGCACTCTTAAAATACCTTTAGTTCATCAGTCTCAGGTTTTTCAGTCTCTGAATCGTCATCTTCCTATAAGACAAAGAATTTACAGGATTAAGCTTTAAAGAGAGGGCTCAGCAACTTCTTGCACGTGTAGCAAGGGGACTGCTTTTTAAAGCCCAGTTTCACTCTTTAATTCTGTGGGTCTATGCTAATTTTCAGTCGATGTCATTCAGTTCAATAAGGTTCACTGTTATCCGCTGTTTCCTGTTTCCATTATAAGTCCAGGAATGTATCCCCCAGGTATATGAAATCGTACAGTTATACCACCTGTCCAAGATTGGACTGAACTCCCTTTCCTGAACATAGTGAGCCATAGTATTAAAGTGGTGTCAAACTGCACTGATTCTACAGATAGATGCACTCCTGCTCTCCCACACCAAGGTTCACCAATTCTAATCAAATTAAGGCTAAATGTAATTCAGCTTTATATTTAAAGATAATTTACTGAAATGCTATTCTTTATTTAAGGCCTGTCTAGAAACAACAACAACAACAACAATTTATTCATAGACCACCTCTCTCCTTGAAGGGATTTAGGGGGGTTTACACACAAAAAAGGCAAACATTCAATGCCGGGACAAATGCAAAGACATTACAATAATGCAATATAATAAAAAATAGTAACAGTGAGCTTCTTGCATAAAAAATTGACATCAAAATAAAAAACAGAATACAAATAATTACATAAAAATAAGTTCCACTAATTACATACTCAACATTAAAACATCTCACATGATAAAAAAAACACAATTAAAATAAATGAAAATTGTATTGTCAAAGGCTTTCATGGCCGGAATCACTGGGTTGTTGTAGGTTGTTCGAGCTGTATGGCCATGTTCCAGAAGCATTCTCTCCCGACATTTCACCTGTATCTATGGAAGGTGTCCTTAGAGGTTGTGACCTCACAACCTCTGCGGATGCCTGTCACAGACGCAGGCAAAATGTCAGGAGAGAATGCTTCTGGAACATGGCCATATAGCCTGAAAAACTTACAACATACTAAATGAAAATTGGCTGTTGTATTTGTTCTTTAAAATGTACCAAAGTGGCTACATGGCCCAGTTTTATAGTGTCTTGATGTATTGTTTATTGATTGTTTAATATTGCTTTAACTGTTTTTAATTTGCTTTAGGTGTTGTATTATTATGTTGTGTTTTGAGGCCTTGGTCTTTGTAAGCCGCATCGAGTCCTTCGGGAGATGCTAGCGGGGTACAAATAAAGTTAATAAATAATAATAATAATAATAATAATAATAATAGGTCAGCCAACATTCCAAGTAAGATGGAGAGTGTCCTAGTCCTCCTCTTCTCCATATGCAAAACTGCAAAATTGTGTTTTCAAGCATTTTTTGAAGGAGAGGAATGTGGGGGTCATTTTTATTTCTATGAGGAGGGAGTTCCAGAGACAGGGAACGATCATGGAGAAGGCCCCCTCTTTCGTTCCCACCAACCACACTTGTGACTGGGGTGGGACCAAGAGTAGGAACTCCTTCGCTGACAGCAGTGCACAAGATGGTCTATACGGGAAGATGTGATTGGAGAAATAGCCTGGACTCGAACTGTTTAGGACTTTATAGGTAACTACCAGCACTTTGTATTTAGCTCGGAAGGAGAACAACAGCCAGTGGAGCTGTTGCAAAATGGGAGTAGTTCTGTTCCTGTAAATAACCTGGCTGTCCATCTCTGAACTAATTGTAGCTTTCAAGCTATCTTTTAAGGCAGCCCCATGAAGAGAGCGTTGCAGTAGTCCAACAGGATGTGACTAAGGCATGGTCTACCATGGCCAGATCTGGCATCTCAGGGTGAGGGCTACATCCCTCTCCGACATGTAGTGAATTTAGGAATGGCTCCAGGCATTTACTTCTCTTCCCAGTGACAATGGATATCTTGATGAATGCTTGAACGAAAACCTATATTGTAGATATTTTAATCTTTAGTGCTCAATAGCAGAGCAATCTGACATTTAACTAATCACTGAACCTCTTTGATAGAAAATGCTCTTTTATGCACAACAAGGAAACTGGTGAAGAAACAAGATGATATTTTATATAAAGGAACATATCTGCCTGGGGAGGCCCTGCTCGTGATCCCCCCCACGTCGCAAGCGCGCTTGGTGGGGACACGGGACAGGGCCTTCTCTGTGGCGGACCCCCGACTCTGGAATGCCCTTCCAAAAGATCTTCGACAGGCCCCTACTTTAGCAGCTTTCAGAAAGAACCTAAAAACTTGGCTGTTCCGATGTGCCTTCTCAGATTAGGAATCCCCCATCCCAAGTCCTAGAAGCACTTTAGTACAATCAATATTACTGCACACCGCACTATTTTAATCCTACGTTCCTCCTGCCATCTCAGCACTTTTAACCCTGTACCCCATTGCGCCGGCCGGCCCAGTTTTAAAGTGTCTTGATGTATTGTCACTGTTGCTGTTATTTTGCTTAATTATTTGCTTTGTTTATTGTTGTCTTATGTTCTACTGTATTTTGTTCTGAGGCTTCGGCCTGTGTAAGCCGCATCGAGTCCTTCGGGAGATGCTAGCGGGGTACAAATAAAGTTAATAAATAAGTAATAAATAATATAGTGTGTCAATTACTTCTTCGAAAACAGAGAGCCAAAGCATTACTCCAATCTAAACACTAAAAAGACCACTACTTGGATCATAAGGCTGTGTTCTGTGAGATCTTTGACTACTTCCACCTATTCAATGCAAGCTACTGCACAGATTTTTCAAAGAAAAAAATACCAATATTTAAAGTATTTGTAAACACTGTTTAACACCTAAGGATTCTACAGGTTGAATATTCCTTATCCAAAAAGCTTGGGGTCAGAACTATTTGGGATTTTGGAATGGACCATATTTCCATATATGTACATAATAAACTATCTTGCAGATGGGATCCAAGTGTAAAGAAAAAAAATCATTTATACATCATATATCCCTAATATACAAAGCATAAAGGTAATCTTATACACAGTATTTTACATTTATAATTTTGTGCATGATATAAAGTCTACGCACACGGAACCATCAGAAAGCAAAGGTAAAAGATTTTGGAGTATTTAAGAATTCTAAATCAGAAATGCTCAAATTGTGTTACCTAACCTAAAATCATCCATATCCACAGATCTTGTATTCATATATTGAGCAATTCACAGCTTCAAAATACAACCCCCTCCCCCAAAACCAAACAGCAAATCTTGATTTTTGCCATTTTGTATCTAATGGGACCAGAGCATCTACAGATTTTGGTAACCACAGAGGGCCCTGGAATAAAATCCCAATGGATACCAGGCCCACTGTATATGCAAATTGCAAGTGCAAGCAGACAAAGACAGAAGGAATACAGACAAGAAACCACATGCTGCAGTAGTATTTTACTTGTTGCAAATTAGTAAATATGCAATTTAAGTAACAAAATCACAATTGGAAATGTTCCAAAAGAAGTTATGGATGCATTATAATATATAAGGAAAGAAATTAAAAATATCTTTGCCACCACAAACTGTAACAAGTTGCAATTTTACAATACAATTTAAGGATTAACTCTGTAATGTTATCCTCTAAATACAAAAAGGAATTATTTCAAAGCACATGCAGCAAATCCAATCCCATTCCTGATTAATTACTGCATATATTTATCATGATTAGAACCAGTTACACATACTATGATAGCTGGGACCCACTGCTGGTAGTGCTACACTGGTTGCATAACGCGGCTCTGAATTAGAGAAGGGAATACTGTGTACCAGACAGCGCACCGAATGAGAAACGCAGCTGCAGCAAGATACCAGTGAAGTAATGTAACACAGGTGGGACAGGATAACAGTGAAGTAATGCAAGAATGACTGGATTTGATTCATTTTCACCACTACTCATATTTCTCCCCTTCCTTCCAATGCAACAATTTTTTTGAACGTGTTTGCATACAATCTCTGGATAGCCTACATCAGTATGCTTGGCTGTTTCCCCTCCCCCTTTCTACCGAAATTCCTTGGATAGGATCTCCAGATAGCCTACATCAGTATGCTCTGTTGTCCCCCCGCCCCCTTCTACTGAACTACCTTATCAACTTTGTTGTAGCTGCGTCTTTCACTGTGTGCGGTCTCTCGCACATGTGGTGCTGTGTCTGGTGCACGTGTTCCCTTCTCTAATTCAGAACCACGTGACGCAACCAGCATAGCGCTACCAGCACTGGGTCCCAACTATCATACTTAGTTAACACTATTATTCATATAATATTTTGTAAGATAGTTGTAGTAGTTGTAGTAGACAAAAATTCAGCTGGGCAAGAGAAAATGTCTGTAAATTACCTCTGCTCTATTTATGTAGTTAATGTAGTTAAGGAAAGTGGAAAAGTCAGAGTTAATACTGTAACTTAAACCACACATTTAGGAAGCACCAAATAGTAACATGCTTCATGAAGGACAAAGGTAACATATTAGACAATTGATGGAACACATGATGTAAAATAATATCCCCTCTAGTATATTAATCTGGACCTTTTCCTCCTTGACATCTTCCTCTGCCATATAATATCAATTTGTTATGGGGGGGGGGGGGGTTCACAGCTGAATTAGAGCATGTGCCACTTATATGACCAACCTTGTCATGCTCTCATGAAAGTAATTGTTGTAAAGAATAACCATAGACATTACTAATTAGAACAAATTATGCCAAAGTCCCAGAGATAAACTGCAACATATCTTGATCTCTCTCACTTTCTTTTTGGATGAGGGCAGGTATTTTACTCTAGTAACCCATAAATAGATACTATTCATCACATTCAAAATAACTTCCAGGAAAAAGAAACACAAAGAAACAAGGAATTAGCATGCCTATTTTTCATGCTACGCTAGAAAATGCAATAACAAGATATACTGAGTATCAAAATGGGCAAAAATAAGTACATACCGACTGCCTGCTGTTTTCATCATCATCTTCATCTTCATCGTAACCATCCTCCTCGCCTTCCATTTTACTGAAGTCATCTTCACCATAGCCTTCTGAAACAAGTCCTCCTTTTTCTTCTGGTACAACCAAATTGAGGAAGAAAAATAATGAAGAGTGTCAGGTAAGTTTTGATCTGTTGATTATGTTTATTTTTAGGAATGGTATGTTTTGTTTACATGTTTTTTGCTGCTTTGAGACCCGATTGGGGAGAAAAGTGTGATAGAAATAAATAAATACTGGTAAATAATCTTACATAATCATAGTAATTTGGCATCCCAATGGGAATACACACAACATACGGATATGCGATGAACAAAAGATACTACTGGCTGTATTCACACTACAGAATTATAACTGTCTGCCACCATGTTAAGTACCATGGCTTCATATGCTAGAATTGGGGAACCTGTGGTTTTGGGAGATATTTAGCCTACTCAACCAGAAAGCTCTGGTGTCACAAGAAATTAGAACTCCAAAGAACCTATAACATTCAGCCATGGAAGTTAAAGGGGTGTCAGATCGGTATAATTTGGCACTGTCAATGGTTCCTCTCTGTCTTACATGTCACAGAATTGTGGCCATTGTGCAAGGAAAGACCACAAATATGTAGCATCTCTTATAATTACAGATCTAGATATATAGTCATGGCTTCAAAAAAGACAAAAAAATGTACATATGAAAGTACCAAAAGTTTTTCTTAAAATTTAGATAGCATCAATTACACATACAAATTTCTGTGTCAGTCCTTGTTAAGAAATAAATTTAAAACTGTAGGTGCAGTCGGCCTGCCACATCTATGGATTCAACCACTCATGTCCTGAAAATATTCTTTAAAACCTCAAAAGGCATGATTTTGCCATTTAAAATAAGAAACACCATTTTAGTATGACACTGTATATAACACTATGTAACAAAATTTGAAAAAAAAATCTGTTCCTGACTTGAAAGTGTTATTTCCTGTTTTATTGTGCAGTACTTGCTTTGAAAGTAGTTGTTATACTCCAGAAACTTCATTTTTGGGGTTGCCACAAACTATTTCGAAGAGGTTGCAACTCAAATATTTATTGAAAAACTAGAGCAAAATGTACTGCAGGATATTCTGCAAAAACAAAGTTCTTGCAGTTTAATAAACCTTTTCCATGTTTTTATGATAGAGCCAATTAGGAAATTACATTTATAACCCAGGAACAAAAACCATGTTACACAGTGTAATAAAGTCTTCAGCATCCATGGATTTTGGTAGATAATGGTGCATGTGTGTCCCAGAACCAAACCCCATTGGATCCCTAGGGCCTACTGTATTTAAATTATGGCACTAATAAAGAAAACAGCCTGGAAAAGAAAGGTTGTGAACCCTTAAAAAATCTGTGGTTTTGGGAGATATTTAGCCTACTCAACCAGAAAACTCTGGTGTCACAACAAATTATATAACAAGGGATCCCAAGATTGAAATTGAAATTATGGCACTAATAAAGAAGACAGCCTGGAAGAGAAAGGTTATGAACCCTTAAAAAAAAAACCTGGAAGCCAACAGAGAACCCTATGAATGGGATGCTGTGAGTATTCTGGGCTGTATGGCCAAGTTCCAGAAAAATTCTCTCCTGGTGTTTCGCCCACATCTATGGCAGGCATCCTCAGAGGTTGAGGGGTCTGTTGGAAACTAGGCAAGTGGGATTTATGTATCTGTGGAATGTCCAGGGTGGGAGAAAGAACTCCTATCTGCTTGAGGCAAGTGTGAATGTTGCAGTTGGCCACTTTGATTCGCACTGAATGGCCTTGTTGCTTCAAAGCCTGGCTGACTGCTGTCTGGGGGGATCCTTTGTTGGGAGGTGTTAGTTATGAATTCCTGGAGGTGAGAAGACAGTTCAATAGCTGAGGCCTAGAAGTCTGATGAGGTCCACAGGACCAGGTGATGCATATTTTTATACAGTCATAATGATACCTTTTGCCCACTCAAGCAATAAATGGCGCACTTAGTTCGACCGTTAGGAGCTTGAGGGGCAAGGTTCTGGGGGCCTGTGTGTCATATTGCTTCATTCTGACCTTTTTCAGGAAGTCTTTATAAAGAGAAACAGACCACAATGCCGCTGCGAATATAAACAGGATACAGTTAGGTGGGGAAAGTCTAGTAATGGCGCAGGATACCACCTTTTGTTCCTTCACGGCAAGGAGAAAGGCGCTCCTCCCCTGGCCTTTCCATCTAAACAGCCTTGGAGCAAAGGGGGGCTCGGGTAAAGACAGCTCCGTGAAGCCAGGCCAAGGGGGTTTCCACGCTCGCTCGCCCGCCCGCCCTCCCGCCACGCCTTCCTCGGGCCTCACCCGTCCCCGCTCCCCGCTCGCTGGCCGCCCCGCCGGCCTCGCTGTCGGATTCGGCTTCGGAATCTTCCGCGTAAACCGCCAACGAAGACAGAACACTCTTTTTCGCCGCCGCCATTTTCCCCTCAATGGAATCCTTGTCCGGCGCGCGGGGACGACGTAGCACGCCGAGGGGCGGGGCGTGCGTGCGTGCGTGCGAAAACACAGGTCTCCATGGCAACCGGTTCTTCCTTCCGAATGGCAGCCCGATTTCCCAGCTATCTCACCTCGCGGGAGCAAAGAGGGGAGTCCAATGGGAGAAGAGAGTATAGAGAAGGGGGCTGGCCCACCTCGTAGGCCTCGAGCCCGACGCCTCTTCTGGGGAGGCCCGTCTCTTTAACGCCTCACACGTCATCATCCCGCGGCCAGGCGGCGCCTGAGCTTCCTCTGTTGCCGCAAAGCGAGCCTGCGCGCGAGTTAGTTTCACGGCGGGCCGCAACGACGATGGCGGAAGGATGTGGAGGTCTGAGGAGGAGGCGGAGGAACATGAACTTGTAGCCGTAGTTTCTCCAGTTTCCCAAGAAGTTGTCATGTTAGTTAGTCTCTTTCAACATCAAATGGAGGAAGGGGTGGGTGGAAAGTAAGACTGAGCGGGGTTTATTTCAACCTGGGCTTTCGTCGGGATTATAAACCTTGTCCTTCAGGAGCAGGACGGAGTGATGTCCAGGCCTCAGGATGCTCTTGACACGGATGTCGTAGGATCCATAGCCATGGCCCTTGCCCTACATTTCCAAATTGCTGTGTGAAGCCATACAGGCCTTTCAGATATCGACAGTTGGGCACTCAGGATGTATGAACACCATTTTTACTTACTATATTTATACCTTGCCCTTCTCACCCCGAAGGGGACTCAAAGCGGCTTACAAATTCAATGCCGAATCGTGCACATAACATTAGCATTATCTAAAAAGTACGTTATATGTTATATTCAAAGTTCTCTTTTCAAATCTGGGAACTGTTTGCAAACAAAACATATTGTAACACAGCGGATCAATGACTTTTCAGTTCTGTAGCACTAATAAGTAACTAGATTGGGCATCCTGCTTATGTTCTCAATTTATAATGAATTCTGCATGGTCCCTCGGGTTGTTGTGCGCCCACCAAGTGGAGAGAACTCTCTTTCGATAGTGGATTCAAAAGACTACATTCATATTTGCAAAGGAACAAAACAACTAGAATATGAATTTTCATGATAGCAAACCACTTCCCAGGACACTGGTGTGTTCCTCTTCCAAATGCTACAAAGCCTTCCAAGAATTGATTTTTCTCTAAATTTGCTTCCTTCCAACAGTCTGGCTTAAAAGTGTTGGGTTCAGGAAAATATTGTGGGTTTCTATGAAACCAATATGGAGACTTCACCAGCAGGTCACCAGTAGGCATAACAAAATTCTGAACATTTATTGGATTTGTTACTTTCTTGGCAATGGCACCTGGTGCTCTTAACTGTATTGTCTCCAAAATACACCACTTGATAAATGGGAGGTTCTTAAGATCATCTTCAGATATGCTGACAACTTCTTTTGCTGCACTGCCATAAATAGATTCTAGCTCCTTCTTGACACATAAGTCTTATTTACCAGAAATGTTCATTTCCTTAAGTTCAAAACTCTGGGAAGATTTTTTTTCACTACATGTGCAGTCATGAATCTCTTGTGTAGTGTGCCTCAGTGCAGTAAAAGGGAAACAGTGACTCCCCTTCAGGGCTCTTGGCCAGAGTGGTCTGTCTTCTGAAGGCTGAAGGGTATCAGGAGTCTGCAGGAAAAGAGTTTCCATTTAGGCTGGTTTTAGTCCTTAGTGTGTGGAATCCTTATGGAATAATTCTGGGAACCGGACTCCTTATTTCCTGAAAGCAGAGCTTTCCAAACATTTGATGTTAATTGCCACCAGTGGCACATTGGGTTAAACCCTTGTGTCGGCAAGACTGCTGACTGACAGGTTGGCAGTTTGAATCCAGGGAGCTGGGTGAACTCCTGTCTCAGCTCTAACTTCCCATCCGGGGACATGAGAGAAGCCTCCCACAGGATGGTAAAATATCCGGGCATCCCCTGGGCAACATCCTTGCAGATGGCCAATTCTCTCACACCAGAAGTGACTTGCAGTTTCTTAAGTCGCTCCTGACATGAAAAAAATGTTTATGGTACATCATTTCATGACATGGTAATTCAGTTTTACTAGCAAACTTCAAGTTAAACCAATCCCTTATAAGAGAAACAGACACATATTTTGTAATAGCAAAATGGATGGGGACACAACATATCTTCTGAAGACCTTTCATTTCTATTTTTAAAAAAATGTGATTTGTAAGATAATAACATACATTTCCAAGTTTTTTGTCATTTCTTGTTATAGACACATTGTCATTCCCCCTTCCCTATAGGTTTATAAAGGATTGGGTGACTTAAAGTGAATATTTTAGTTCACTTTAATTGAAATAATGAAAGCCAAGTGAATTCAAGTATTGCCTTGTATGAGGACAAATTTTAAAAGCAGCAGCATGGTGAAAGCAGTGGTCATGATGCAATAAAAGTAAACAGGCAGCCAGTTCCCTGTAACTGGTAGTAATGAATGGGAAGGAAAGTATTTTGGTATGAGCAGTATTAGTTCTACATATTTCTGAAAAAGAGGAAAGCATAGTTATTCTTCGTAGATAGTAGGCATTATTGATCTTAGGCTAAGTTCCACTTCCTTATACATTCCAGCAGCAAACAACCTTTAAAGTGTTAAAAGTTTTCTTTTCTAGATGATAGAGTGTCCCCTACTTACGGATTGTGTGAAAATAAATACAGAGCATAAACAAAATAAGCCATTAATGGTTTGGGTCATTCCTACTTGAAGAACTGCTTCTCCTCTTATAGACCTATTGGGACATTGGGGTCAACAGGGGAGGCCCTGCTGTCGGTCCCACTCCTGTCTCAAGTATGGCTGGTGGGAACAAGAAAGAGAGGGCCTTCTCCGCAATCCCTCCCCCCAACCTCTGAAATGCATAAAAATGCTCCTTCCCTTCCTCCTTAAAACAATGAAAAACCCACTTGTGCACTTCAGCATATGGAGAGGAAGGGACTAGGGAATAACAGCCTTCTCTGTGGTGGCCCCCCGACTCTGGAACTCTCTCCCCAAGGATATCAGACAAGCCCCAACATTGGCAGTCTTTAGGAAGACCCTGAAGACCTGGCTGTTCCAGTGTGCCTTTCCAGAATAGGAAACTCCTGGCATCAAGTCCCAAATGCACTTTGTTAGGGATTCAGGATTATCTGCACATTGCACCTACCTCCAAATACCTCTACATATCACCTCTCAAGTCTAGCACTTTAAAATTTTGTCCATTACATTTGGCCCGGCCCTTAGGTTTTAAATGTGTCACTGTGTCATTGTTTTTACTGTTCTAATGTTTTGCTTGATGTTTTATTTGCTTATGAGTTTTATTGTGTATTTGTATGTTATTGTTTGTTGGCGGCCTTGGCCTTTGTAAGCCGCATCGAGTCCTTCGGGAGATTTTGCGGGGTATAAATAAAGTTAATAATAATTACTAATAATTATTTCATTTTTATCATTATCATTGCTCTCTGGCCTTGGTGGATCAGCCAGCACTGTTGGATATTATGGCAATTGTAGTTAATTTTGTATTTTAATTTTTTAAATGGATCTCTGGGAGCTCATTAAGCTGAGGCTCATGTTTTTATGGTTAGAAATAATTGTTTTTATGATGAGATACAATTTTATAATGTAACTGTAATTTTGGGTGTATTTTATTTTTATTAATTGATTGTTTGATCTTGGGTTACTTCATGATTGGGTGGATCATGAATGCATTTATGTTTGTACTTATGGTGAGGCACTGAATGTTTGCCTCTATGTTTTTTGTTTGTTGGAACCACCCTAAGCCCCCTTGGGGAGATAGGACAGAATACAAATAAAGTTTTATTCCTATAAGATACATTTCAAATGGTGAAAGTTCAAAGAACATTTCAAAGAGCATTCCACTCTGATGGGAAAAATTCCTTAAGACTACGTATGAAGAGTAGTGGAGGAAATAACCGCATTAAAACCTTCTCTTTACCCCTCTCAATTATTTCCAGTTATCTTCCTATAAGATGAGTAGCTGCTCTTCCTCAAGAGTGGATAGAGTTCAACAAATTCTGAAAAATGTCTTTGGGTTTGACTCTTTCAAGACCCCACTGCAGAAAAGTGCAACCTTAACTGTGGTGAAAGGTAATTTGCAAGTCCATTTCTTTGCAAAATATAGTAAAGCTGAAAAGTTTTCTGTCTTCCTTAAAGGTTTTTTCTCATCCTTGTTATGATTTCTTTTGCTTTAGGTTCTTCTAGATCAGGGGTCCTCAAACTAAGGCCCGGGGGCCGGATATGGCCCTCCAAGGTCATTTACCTGGCCCTTGCTCAGGGTCAACCTAAGTCTGAAATGACTTGAAAGCACACAAGAACAACAATAATAACAATCCTATCTCATCAGCCAAAAGCAGGCCCACACTTCCCATTGAAATACTAATAAGTTTATATTAGTTAAAATTGTTCTTTATTTTAATTATTGTATTGTTTTTAAGTGGGTTTTTTTGCACTACAAACAATGCAGTGTGCATAGGAATTCGTTCCTTTTTTCCCCAAATTATAATCCGGCCCTCCAACAGTTTGAGGGTCTGTGACCTGGCCCTCTATTTAAAAAGTTTGAGGACCCCTGTTCTAGATATAGTAATATAATGACTAACAAAATTCCTATACCTTTTATTATTGTCATGGTTTCATTGAGTAAATAACACAGTTGAGAAATTTGTACTTTTTAATGTACATTCCTTATCTGGAATGTCAACATCTGAAATATTCTAGAATTGTCCATATGGGTGACTGCGACAGTATTGCCCTTACCTTCTGATAGTTCAATGTGCACAAACATTGCTTCAGCCACAAAATGATTAAAATATTTTATGAAATTACCTTCAGGTAATTTAGATTAGATCCCATCTCCAAAATATCTCATGTACATAATATGCAAATATAGGTATTCCAGTTCCTTTAAAAAAATTCTAAACACTTCTGGTCCCATGCATTTTGGAGAAGGGATACTCAGCCTGTGTCTGAGTAATACACATTTTTGTTATTCTATACAATTCACACTGATGAGAGAACCATCCAACTTCACGTGCTATCTAATAGACCCAAGCTGTCTGGACAGGATTGTGTTTCGGCTGCTGTGCTATACTATCTGTTTTATCTTAGAACACCGAGTCCAAAACAGAATCCCAGGAATTGTTTAATTTTTAAAAGTTCTGAACACAACAAAATTGCCTTTGCAGGAGGGAAGGATGTCTTCATATGCATGCCCACTGGGGCAGGAAAATCCCTGTGTTACCAGCTTCCTGCGGTTCTGGCAGCAGGCATTACCATTGTCGTGTCACCATTAATTGCACTGATTCAGGTAAAATATCATATTATGTAAGGGATTAAAAGGTGACACCTTCTCTATCCCCTATTGTCAATGAAAAAAAATTTTTTTTGTAAATGTTGTTCAAGTTTACTTGATAAAAATGAATTGGGGGGGGGGAGCAAAAGAAACGTTGGAACTTTGGATTATTGAAGATACGCTCAATCACATCTGATTGAAATAGAAGTATCTAAACATGGCAGACTTGATCTGTGCCTGATAGGTTCTTTCTCTCCGTTGGTTGAATGTAGGGCATACCCTGGGTTTAAACTTTATAGTAAAACTATCAACAAGAGGCCTGTTGTTTGTTTGTTAGGTAATAAGCACTAGATGGCTGTTTCTCCTAATTAATTTGTGTTTCTGCAGTTCCCTGGCTTATTGTGATGTTCTTTTTCATTGAGAAAAGTAAAAATCTGAGATGTCTGAAATAGAACAGATGCCTTGTTATCTGAATCTGCCTTGTCTAAAGTATCTTGTTAGCTAAATTCAGGTTTGTAATTATAGTTTATTATTGTATTTTAGTAGGGATGGGCAGATATTTTGTGTTGTAGATATTTTGGTGTGCACCAGTCAGACTCCCTTATTATTGGCAATTATTGCCTGGGAGTCGTAGGCTGGATGTTTTATCTCAAGGGCTGCAGTGGTTCTCCCTTGCTCTAGACAAGTTAAATTGTCAATTCACCTATAGCTAATATTGCCAGTTACATAGTGGAAGTTGTGCTTAACATTGGATTTATTCAGTGGTGGTTAATTTAACCTGGATTTCTTTAAAATAATAAATGGTACAACCATGGTAAAAAGTATGCAGATAAAATTTGTAAAGTGTAGAAATAATAAAGGTTTATTTATCTTTGTGTTGTTGTCATTTTGATATACATGTTCTTTCTTTAAAACATCTTTGATATTCTTCCACAGGATCAAGTGGATCATTTGCTCTCACTAAAAGTCAGAGTAAGCTCTCTTAATTCCAAGATTTCTGCCCAGGAGAGGAAGACCATCCTAACAGATTTGATGAGTGAGACACCACAGACAAAGCTCTTGTACATCACACCAGAGATGGCAGCTTCTTCTTCCTTTCAGCCCACGTTGGAGGTGTTGGTGTCTCGCAATCTTCTCTCCTATCTGATAGTGGATGAGGCTCACTGTGTTTCCCAATGGGGGCATGACTTCCGACCAGACTACCTGCGGCTTGGCTCCTTGCGTTGTCGCATACCCAACACACCATGCATAGCCCTCACTGCCACAGCTACCAAGCGTGTTCAGGATGATATCATAGCATCACTTAAACTAAAGCTTCCTGTCACTACCTTCAAGACACCATGTTTCAGGCCCAATCTTTTCTATGATGTGCAGTATAAAGAACTCTTGACAGATCCTTATGAAAACCTGAAAGATTTCTGTCTGAAGTCTCTTGGGGAGCAGGATATTTCAGGGGTGAGTTAAATCTCTAAGTAAGATACATTTTTCTACCTTGCAAAACATTGTAAGACAAAACCTAGGAGTTGACATATTTCTTAGATGTTACTGTCTTAACAAAGTGTGAAAAGGGGAGTGTTAAAAAAACCCAGTAAATAGTAGCACATTGTTTATCTATTAAGAGAGCATTAAAAGAGCAGGGGACTAGAACCTTTAAAATAAATCAACAGTAAACAATATAGATGAGTAATGTGATTTCTTACAGGTTGAAAAAAATTCCCCAGTGATTCTGGTAGAACTTGCACACAAATAAGTGTACATAAAGTTATGGCTTTTACTGTACAATAATTTTATCTATTTGATTTAAAATGTGTTCCCTGTTTTAATATGGCTTATGTGCAGGACAGTCCATATTGGATTGCCACTGAACACTTTAGCTTTGTAAGCATAATTCTCAAGAAATTCTAGTAGTTTGAATAGTTTGAATTCAGTGATTTGTATGTCCAAACAGTGAATTCTGATTCCAGAGAATTGATTCAGTAAAGCTAGTACTTGTGGTCAAGTCTTTTACCTGTGGTGATGCTTTAAATGAGACACTTCAGAATACCTTGTCATGATATAGCCAAAGTGTGATGGCCTTAACTATAAAGATAAATTATTGAATACTGATATCAGGATTTTCCATGTATTCTGTGTGTTGTTGTGAAAGCTGAACAGTGAGAAAAGCTGATAAGAAAACTTTTGAAATGTGATAAGGAATGACACCATATTTTTTCCTATGAATACCATAGATTGCCAAAAAGACAAGTAAATGGTTCTTGGAGCAAAACAAGTCTGAGTTCTCCCTAGAAGCCAAAATGAATAAACTGATGCTATTATACTTTGGAAATATGAGAATATATGACTCATAAAAAAATGATAATGGAGGATATATCCATTTCAACCTGCGGCAGGCTAGACGGCTGGCCCCCTACCTGTCCAGGGACGACCTAGCTACGGTGATCCAGGCCACGGTCATCTCAAGGCTGGACTACTGTAACGCCCTCTACATTGGCCTTCCTCTGTCGGTGATCCGGAAGCTCAAGTTGGTACAAAACGCAGCTGCTCGGCTTCTTGCGGGAATTCCGATGAGATGCCACATAACACCAATCTTACTACAGCTGCATTGGTTACCAATTGAGCACCGGATCACTTTCAAAGTGATGGTACTCACCTTTAAGGCCTTGCATGGTCTGGGGCCAATGTATCTGAGGGATCGTCTCACCCCTTACCAACCCCAGAGATCCCTCCGTTCTGAGGACCAAGATCTATTGGAAGTCCCCAGTGTCAAGACCTTGCGTCTAACGGCAACCAGACGCAGAGCCTTCACAGCAGTGGTGCCATCAGTCTGGAATGCTCTGCCACCTGAAGTTCGTGCCCTGTGGGACTTACCAGCTTTCCGCAGGGCATGTAAGACATACCTGTTTCGACAGGCTTTTAATGTTTGATACTATTGTTTTTAAATTGTTTTAAATGGCTTATAAACTTTGTTAGATTTTAGCTATTCTTGTAAGCCGCTCCGAGCCCCAGGGGAGTGGCAGCATATAAGTTTAAATAATAAATAAATAAATAAATAAGTACCTTATATGTATGCTTTAGAGAGAGAAGAACAGGCAGGCAGTGATCCGTCATGCCAAGTCCAGCATCTGATGAAAGATCCTGCCTCCCATTGTGATGGCTACTGCTGTTGCATCTGATAGATAGTAGAATAGGCAGTATCTGCTTGACAATTGTTTTCTTTTGTGTGTTGTGTCTTGTTCAACTGTTAGAGTAATTGGTAATCAGTCTGGCTACTATCGTACACATTATCAAATACCTGCTGAAAAAAACAAGTTTTTAACTCTTTCCAAAAGTGCTGTACTGTGGGGGCTTGCCTAAGTTCCTTGGGCAGGGCATTCCAGAGTGGGGGGCTACCACCAAAAAGGCCCTTTCCCTCGTCCCCACCAACTGCGCTTGAGACAAAGGTAGGACCAAGAGGCGGGCCTCTGTGGTAGATCTTAAAGTCCATGCCGCTTCATAGGGGGAGGTGCAGTCACAAAGTATTATCTTCTCTTAGTACCTTGCATTCATATTACCATTTAATAATGTCTGGATTTACTTATGTTATTTTAATAGATATTACTTTCTCCACTTGTGTGCAGGTTTATTCTGGCTGTGGAATTATCTATTGCAGGATGAGAGAAGTTTGCGAACAGGTGGCCATTGAGCTAAGCTATAGAGGGTTGAGAGCCAAAGCATATCATGCAGGTAGCAAAACTTGTATTGCTATTAGCAGATTTTTATTCACTGGGTAAAAGAGTTGTTTACCTTTCTTCTTGATTTGAAGCATGGTCAGTTAAGTTTCCTGACAAGGACTGGTTCTTACTAGACCTGCTCTATAAATTCTATTAAAATAGAAAACCAGGCGCTTGCTGAACCTGTTAAGTAAGGTCTATCATGTAACTCTAGTGTCCAGGGATAGAGGCTATACATCAGGGTGAATATGCGCAAATCAGTGATGCTGCTTTATACAATACTCCCAGATTACTGGATCATATAGCCCAGACTTGCTTCCTTTGACTAGTACCAATTTTGCTACATGGGTGCCTTTTTCAATAAGAGATGCTGACAACTGGAGCATTAAAATTCTGTGATTTTAAAGTTTTATCATAAAATGCCAATTTGTGGAAAATGTGTGACAATGATGGTGAAACCTCATATAGTTGATAGGCTAAAAATGTATCAGGTTTTGCACTGATAAGGAAAAAAAATGAAAAATGGCCTGTTTTAAAAGGAACATCTTTTCTGTATTTCATCAGGCATGTTTACCAATATCTACTTCTTGATGGGACTTGTTTTCTCCTAGCTCAAGCACTTTTGTCTGAATTTTACTTGATGCTGAAACCCAGATAGTATGTGGAGGGGAGTAATAAAATAAGATGTGCAGCATATAGCATTAATGTAACATAAATAATTTCTCTAAGATGGTTCTGTGGCTTCAGACATTTTTTTTCAGAACCTGACTTGCAATTCTTTGAGGTTAAAATTAATCTAGATATGGGTTGCTGTGAGTTTTCCTTAATCTAGAAATGACTAAGTAAAACTGACTACTTGAAACTGATCATTAAGCAATAAAAATTCTTCACTTTGGAACTTATTAGTTCCTCTTTGTAGGTGCCTAGTGATTTTTATGACACAGTGAGCCCATAAAAAACATTGTGAAAGATTGTTAAAGTATTCTTAAACATTGAGTTGGATAGTCAGCACCACTGATGCTGTGGTGGCCAGAATTGAAAATGCAGTGTTAGCCAAAGAAGTTGGAGAAAGCTGCCACTTCCTCAGTAAACATGCTCATAATCAACTATATGAGCAGCCAAAGCTGAAATGTATTATCCAATATATGCTCTCTGCAATCAAGCAGAAGATCCAATAATATAGGGCTCATTCCCACTGCACAAGTCCAGTTTGGTGAGGTACCAGAGCTCTCTGTCTGGGAATTCTGATTACCTTTCCTTGATCTGCAAATCCCAGGATTCTATAGGATGCTTTTTTAGAGTGGAATCATAACACCATATGATAACTGTATAATGTGAATGGGCCCAAAGAAGGAGATTCTGCTCTGTTGATCAATACATTGGTTTTAGGCCTGTCCTTATCTATCCAGTGCCCTTCTTACCAGTCAGTTACAAAGATAGACATTGCACATTACTGTTTTTTTTATGAATGGGGCATGAAATCTAAGCACATGAAATACTAATGAATTTCTGATTCTCAGTCCACGAGAGACATGTTAAACTCTTATATCTTCTATTGCTATTGTCGTGTACACTAACGTAACAGTAGATAAGAGGTGCAGGTAAAGAGAAATTTAAAAACAGACTTGTGAACATTTATGTAGAATAAATGTAGTGATGAAGGCACTTTCTTCTGATATTGTATGGTTGGTCTTTGTTCCTTAGGTCTGAAGGCAGCAGAGAGAACATCAGTTCAGAGTGAATGGATGGAAGAGAAAGTTCCAGTTATTGTTGCAACTATCAGTTTTGGAATGGGAGTTGACAAAGCTAATGTCAGGTGCGTGCATTGTGCCAAGTAGTCCCAGATGAGTAAGGCTTACTGTTGTTCCCCTATATGTTTTGTTATGAATGGGATGCACTTAATACATTCATAGAAGCTCATCACAGTATGAGCTATGTTTAGGTTGGACTTTGTGTCTATTTCTAATTCTCTGTGCATTTGGGCATAATGGTTTTATTGCTTTATGCTATGTAGATTTGTTGCACATTGGAATATACCAAAGTCTATGGCTGGGTACTACCAGGAGTCTGGAAGAGCTGGGAGAGATGGTAAGCCATCCAGTTGTCGACTCTATTACTCTCGGGCTGACAGAGATCAGGTCAGTTTCCTTATCAAGAAGGAAATTGCTAAGCTCCAGGTAAGAGTCTTATGTATTGTGGTTCATTGCTTCTTTTCTTTACTCAAATGGGTGTGCACAGTCACCTGTAGACAAATTTTGTAGAGGTTTCTTAGACAAGGAATACTCAGAGGTAGTTTTGCCAGTTCCTTCCTCTGAAGTATAGCCTATAGCAAATGGGATTCATTAGCAGTCTCCCATCTAAGTAATAACCAGAGCGGATACTGTTTAACTTCCATGATTAAATGGAATCTGGTGCCTTTAGACTTTGAACCTACCATATTTTATCATAAATGGCTGTGCAGAGGCTTTCATAACTGACACAGGCTGAATGTAAAAGTGTCCACTGCAGTATTAGTAGACATGCTTTGGTATAAATAGGAAGGTGAAAAAAAGACACATTTCTATATTTTTATATGGTAGACATGTGAAGGTTATTATTTTCCATACTTGCAATGTTCCTATAGAACTGAAAATAAAATTAAAAATACAGCTTATCTGGCTATTATGTTGTTATGCTAATATATAAAAGGAGGCATTGTTGATAATAAACCTTTTCTGAATTAATTACATGTGGATATTGAAGGTTTTGCTTATTCAGCTTGTCTCTTTCAGGAAAAACGAGGCACCTTGAAAGAATCTGATAAATCTATGATGACAGACTTTGATGCTGTGGTGGCCTTCTCTGAAGAACTGAGGTATGTATTTTGGTTCTATAAATGAATTCTTTGAATAGATGGATTCTATAAATAGATGAATCTTTATTTCTTTTACAGTTGGTATTGGAGCAGGGAGATTGTCTTCTGTGATGCGTACATGGCAGTGCAAAGGGCTTGTAATTGATTTCTGTTGTTTCTTTTGTGCAAAAGAATTTAATGTGAACTCCATTCTACATATTGCTGTCCCCCTCCCCTCTTTTTTTGGAAACTCTCTGCCTTTACCTTTATCTTTGAAAGAAACAAACTAACATGTTGATGTAGAAATGTTTTACATATGTATAATGTTTTGTTAATAATATTTTTGTATTGAAGCTGGAAATATTTAGTGCTTTGAAGAATTAGAGGTACAGGGTGAGGCAGCATAACTTCCTTTTTAAAAATGCGCGCCATTCAGTCGGTTGAAAAAGTAGCGGAGTGCTAGTGGTCTCGTTCGAGAGGCGGGAGTATAAAGTTTTGTCCTGACACAGTTCAGTTGCCATCATGCGTTGGAACAGTGAGGAGTGTGCTTTTGCCGTTGAGGCCTACTTTTCAAGCGGTTTTGGAGTGGCCGGCCTGCTCTCCAGATTTGGCCCCTTGTGGTTTTTTTCTATAGGGTTTTTTAAAATCCTGTGTTTATGTGAACCGTCCAAGGACCCTACAAGATTTGACGACCAACATCCAGGAAAAAATTGCCAACATTAACACCTGCTATGCTGGTTTACTCAGTGTATGGAGAATGGGGGATGTCACCAACCTAATTTGATCTTCAAAACGATGTAAAACAAAACTTTAGGTATGCACCTACATTATAAAAAAATTCTGATTCATACAATGGGTTTTATTAAGTTTTGAAAAAAGGAAGTTTTGCTGCCTCACCCTGTATAATGTGCTGAAATTTGTCATTGGAGCTATGATTTCAGACAAATAACTACTACACAAATATCTTGTACTAAACTGAGGGTGAAAACAATTTAATATAATATAGTTGCTGCTATAAGTAACTAAAATGTGAAAAAATAGGATATATATGCAAGAATATGTATAATGTGCAAAAGATGGAACCAAAATGCACTTTTTATAAGGAAGATTTATAGGGTTCTAGAAACTTTAGAATGCAAGTGATGACCACATTTCTAAGACAGCATCAACTGTAAGACGCACAACAGAAAAAAGATGTATATGTATGCATGCATAAAAGCACCTATGGTTCTAAGATGCAGACCATTTTTAGAAACGTTTATATGGGGAAAAGTGCATCTTAGTATAGAAGGAATACAATAGTTGATAATTTCATATAAATTTGACGGCATAAAATTTGATTTGCTGTTTATTTTTGAATATTTGAAATTCACAATTCTTATAAAAAGTCATTTATTTACAAGTGTCTTGCTAAAAAACCCCTAGTATTAAGTCAGAGAGTTGTCAACACATGGTTTTAAATTCCAATTCCATTTGGCATCAGTTATATGCATTGTAAATAGTAATGCGCACTTAAGTGAAATAGGGGTGACAAGAAACAATAGTATTTTTCACTTCTTGGGCACACTGCAGCACTCTTGAAATTCCACAGAGCAGACAGTTATTGATGTTTATGTGGAACCTTCTTTGTTGCTTGAAGCCGAGCAACAACCAAAGACAATGGCAAATAAGAGGAGGGCGATGATGACAGTGACAAACGAAGCTATCACCACTAGTCCCGCGAGAGCCCAGTCATTTGTCAGAATCTTAGTTTTCAGGTCTTCCAAAACTTGAGAAGCAGTTATGGTTGCAGCTGACATTGTTTCCAGGCCTTGGAGAGTTAAACATAAATTTCATCAACAAGATTTTTATTTTGCCTTTCATAATAAGCATTTTCATGGTGGCCGATACTAAAACAATAAAACCATTAACACCTTGAAATCTCAGGAATAAGAATAGCAAAAATAATTTCAGCATCACTAGAGTAGTTTCAGGTTATGGTGGCTCCAGTGTAAATATATTTCCCTTAGCTTTTGAAGTTGATCTCTTCGCTATTTTTCTTAAAAGGATAAGAATACCATAATTGCTATATTGCATGAGAGTCAGAAGCTGGGGTATGTAGATGTTATTAAGACTTCATTACGTAATTTGAGAAATGTTGTGAGATTTAAAAGCCCAGAAAAACAAAATAATCTTTGCCTCACATTGAGAGTTGTGCATGTTGTTTTTCTGTGCTTTTCCTTATTCTTAATTTTAGCTTTCCAGACTAAAAGATATATGTATATTTCTTTCCTATCACTTTCTAGAAGTACAATTCTCTTTTGAAATGGTTCTCTTCAGTTATGCTATGGTAGTAGTTCTGTAACAGTTATTGATAAAAGGATTCAAACAGCAAGAAAAGAGATTACACCTATTATATTAGGGGAAGTTTCCTGATGGTGGGTGCTGTTCAACACTGGAATGCCTCAGAGTATGATGGAGTCTTCTTCTCTGGATATTTTTAAGCGGGGGCTGGATGGGTATTTGTTGGAAATACTTGGATTATATATTCCTGCAAGGCAGGAAGGAGTTGGGCTGGATGTCCACTGTGGTCTCTCCTAACTCTATGATTCTATGACTGCACTGAAGAATCCACATTTTGTACTTGTGTTCAGAGAAAGGCAACAAAAATATCAAAGTTTTGGAAACCAATCTTAGAGAGCTGGGTATGCTTAATGTGGATAAGAGAAGACTGAGAGAGAGGACATGATTGCCATATATAAATGTCTGAAAGGATATACCATTGAGGAGGAGGAGGCAAGCTTGCTTTCCTGTCGTAGTCCCTGTGAATCGCACATATGATATCTCTGCGCTTGCGCAATAGCTTTCGGAACCTTCTAGAACAAGAAGAAAAAACGCCTGACTCCTAGCTGGCCCCACCCACCTCGCCCCGAGTATAAGTAGCCCGTGGGAGGGGCCAGCCGTCAGTTCTCTTTTCCGCTTCGGATAGCTTGGGAACCCTTTTTTCTCTTGACGTATTTTTTCTTGACTCCTTCTATCGATTGACTAATTTCTTAACGGACTTGACTTGGCTTGACTTGACTAAGGTATTGGTTGGCGATTTGGACTGGTTGCTCCCCGGCCGGCTGTTGACTCGGACTGTTTGACCATTCTGACCTCTCCAGCCCTTGACCCGGCCCGTTCTTTGACGATCCGCAATGTCTACCACCTCCTTCAAGAGGTGCTCCAACCCTTCCTGCCCCAATACCTTTCCGGACACGGATGGCCATTCCCTATGTCTGGCCTGCCTGGGCGAGGGCCATCTTGCCCAATCTTGTGCGGTTTGTCTGGCTTTTACCGCCCAAACGAGGAAGAATAGGGAGGAGCGACTTAAGGCTGCCTTGTACGAGAAGGCCCTTCTCCCTCCGCCTCCCCCTGGGCAGACTGGGCCCTCTCCCGGCCCCACCTTACCTTTTTCGCTCCGGGACGATCCTCTGGCCAAAAAGAAGGCCAAGAAGCCTAAGGACAAGGGCATCCAAGATGGCCGCCGCCCTGCTCTGCCGAAGAAAACGGCGGCAAAAAGGGCGGGAATCGCGGATAAGACCTCCGCTCCCCCTTCCCATCCTGGGAGAGTCCTGAGCAGCCTCTCGCGACCCCTGCCGGCCGCTGAGGCTAACGCAAGCTCCCCCGCTGCTGCTTCCTCCACAGTGCAAGATCTCGCGTTGCCCTCCCCGATGCCTTTGCTTCTGCCTCCTGAAACTGCCTTTCCTCCGGCATTGGGAGGCACGCCGCTGATGCCTTCGGCCCTTTCTCCGGGCCCGAGTGTGGCTCCGATCCCGGCTGGGATCCAGGTCTCGGGAAGCCTGGTCGCGGGCCCCGAGCAATCAGAAGCTCCGCCCCCCCAGGAAGCCGGCAGGGACACTCCGCCCATCCAGGAAGCGACTACTGAAGCCCCACCCACCCAGGGCCCGAGCGTCCCGACGCTGGCTGGGACGAGCTCCGCTGCTCAGCCTGTGGGCGCGATGCCGACAGGGAGCCATGCCCTCGGTATGCTGCCCCCGTCTGCGGACCCTCTCTCGCCCCAATCGAGATCGGGCAGATCGGGCCGATCCGTGCGTCATTCCAGCAGGCGCAGACGGCGCTCCCGATCACCGTCCCGACGGAGTGGAGGATCTCGGCGCCACCGACGCCGCTCCCGCATGAGGAGCAGAGCGCGATCTTCGTCCTCGTCTTCGTCCTCCTCCTCCTCCTCCTCCTCCTCCCCTCCGCACAGGAGGCGCCGGCGCAGCTCCAGATTCTCGCGCTCCTCATCCTGCCGTCGCGGGGCCTACACACCGGCCCATGTGCCACCATCGGGATGCTGGCAGCTGGGCCCAGCAGGGCAGCTCGTCTATGTGCCCATGCCCCCACCGCTCACGATGCCTCCCCCCCCGGCGGCGCTGATGACTGGGATGGGCACCCCAACACCTGCCAGGCCCCCCCTGGCTATGCCAGTAGCCGCTATTCCAGCAATGAATGTGGTCGCCGCACCTGTGGCCGACCCCACTCCTTCAAGTGGGGCTTTGGGCATCAATCCTACCCTGACTGAGTCTAACGCATCCACTGCAGGCCCCCGCTGTGCAGACTTGGGGATACAGTACAGCCCCAGCACCTCTGACACGCTGGGCCCGGTCAACCAAAGCCTATGCCAACCTACCGCGCTTCCAGCCGCGGCTTCGGCCACCATACAGGCTGCTACTACCCCACTGGACCTGCATGATCCAGCGACCCACGATGACGGGGACCCGCCGGACTCTGATTCGGACGCTGAGCCGCATGAGGCTCCTCAGCCTTTGGGGGGTGAGGACACTGTCTTGCCTGCAGACTTTAATAAATTTGCCGCTTTAGTAGAACGAATGATTAAGGCTTTGGAGATCCCTGCTCCGAAACCCCCGGAGCACGTGGAAGATCCAATGTTCCCGTCGGAGGAACAAAATGTGGTTGTGTCCTCCACCCTTCCCCACCTGCCATATTTGCTCAAGCTGGCCAAAATAATTGATATGCCCCCTTCGTCGGTACCAGCT